GCACCATTTGATTCACTTCACTTATTTAAAAAACACACAAAATCTCCAAGGTTTTGAAAGTGGAATGAGAGTTGCTGATTAGGGCATCTAACTAGTTGGTCCACGCTCTCTTATTACTGAGTTTCTTCTTCATTTACGCTCTTAGCAGTGGGCTTCATTTCATCACCACCAGGCTGGGCTCAGAATTGTGCAGCCCATGCTCTAAAACTAAGAATTTGTCATGTGCTCCCTTTTACTGTCAATCCAGGAATGGTCTAAAGCACACTTAAGCAATTGTGGGGAAAAAACCAATTGGTTAATAAGATAAAAGGTGATTAAATAAAAATGAATTATTTTAGAGTTATAAATTATTTGAGTTATGATTATTGAAAAATTTGAAATGTCATGTTCTTGACCCATCATATACTCTGGCATCCAGAAGCTAATTAGGAAAAAAATTCAAAATTCATGATGATAAAAAGGTCAGCCCATCTGAAAGATACAATGACACTTTATGCACCTAATTAAAGTTGAAAATTATATAAAGCAAAAACTGACAAAAATAAGAGAGTTGAAATTTTTTCTCGTGTCTAGAAAATTGAATAGCTCTCTCAGAAATCGATAGAACAACGCTGATTTTAAAAACCAAGAAGGATAGAACTACCTAGAACAAATTATCAGCCAACTTGACTTCGGTGACATTTATAGACATTATACTCAAAAACTGCAGACTTAACTTTCTTTTTTTCAAATTCTCATGGAATTTTCACCAATTAGACCATATAATGCTCCTTAAAATGATTCCTAATGAATTTCAAAAGGCTGAAACTTCACAGGGACTATTGTCTGACCACAACAGAATAAACTTATGCTCCCAAATAACATTTTTAGAAAATCTCTTTCTTCTAAAAATACACTTCTAAATAACCTATGGGCCAAAAGAGAAATCACATATGATATTAGAAGACACTTGAATAATAATAAAAATACAACATATTAACATTATGGAAATGCAGGTAAAACAATGCTTAGAGGAAAATTATATTTTTAAATTATTGTATTAGGAAAATGTTAAAAGATGCCTATATACCTTTGTTTTATGAAATACGAAAAAGAAAATAAAAACTAAAAGCAGAAATAAGGAAATAATGAAGATAAAAAATCAATGTGAAAAACAGACTAACAACAGGGAACATTAAATAGGGCAAAGATTCTTGTGTGTGTGTGAAAAGATTAATACAATTGAGAAGACATGAAAAAATGGAGAAAGATACAAATTATCAATGTCAGGAAAAAAATGACTTATTACCACTATTCTACAGATGTTAAAAAGATAATCATGCTTAAAAGATAACCAGAGGGCATTTGTATAAACATTATGCAATATTGACAATCTATAAAAATAGGTAAGATCTTTGAAAAGCAAAATTTACCAACTTAACAGAACAAGGAAGATAACAACACCATAGCTCTGTATGTTGAATACATTAAATTTGTAATGAAAAACGTTCTCACAAAGAAAATTTCAGGCCCTGAGTTTTACTCATGAATTCTATCAAACGTTTAAGAAAGAAAGAATATGAATCTTACATTAACCCTTGGAAACATGTTCCGCTTGTTTTATGAGGACAGCATTACCCACATTTCAAAATCTGGTAAAGATGTTTCAATTAAAAAAGCCTAAAAATAATGCTCCTTGTGAACAAAGATGCAATAATTTGTAACAAAACATTAGCAAATCAAATCTTACAAGGCATAAAGAGGAATACAATATGACCAAATTAGCAATATACCAGAAATGCAAGATTGGCTTCTATTAAAGAAATCCATCATGTAATTCAGTACATTAACAGAATAAAAGAGAAAAGCACTGGACAAAATATACATACATCAATGATTAAAATCTCTTAGCACCATAGGAATTAAAGGTAACTTCCTCACTTTGAAAACTCTACAGCTCACATCCCACTTAACAGAAATACTGAAAGCTTCTCCTAAGACATTGATGTCCATTCCAACCACTAAATTAAGACTACATCTTGACCCTTACCTCATAAGAAACACACAAATTAATTTGAGAAGGATCATAATTTTCAGGGAGTACCTCATAAGAAATACACAAGTTAATTTGAGAAGGATGATAATTTTCAGAAAGTAGAATAATAAATGCAATAACTTACTCTCTGGATTTAATTCTGACAGAAAAAGGAAATAGTTCCCTCAAGACATATATAATAAATATGTAAAGATTTTTATATTCACCAAAATCTCAATAAAGTGGATAGAGACATAATTTCAATAGTAGGGGAAAATAATAATATGTCCAGAAAATGGTTATCAAAAAGTTATTTTCCAAGGCTATTTTGAACAACAATAATGAAGAGTGGGAGTGGGGTTAGTAGCAACAGTATTTTTCTTTTAAAAATAATTTTGAGTAGATTATTCACTCACATCATGCAAGAATAAAAATTACATTAAAAAAGAAGAAAAAATGAGATCTTTACTTCAACATAATTCTATGGATAATCAAGGAAGGCATGGTATCTGGCCACACTTAGGTGAACCTAAGGTAAATTTGTTTCTTTCTTTCTTTTTTCGAGACAGAGTCTCACTCTGTGGCACAGGCGGGAGTGCAGTGGTGTGATCTCAGCTCACTGCAATCTTCGCCTCCTGGGTTCAAGCAATTCTCCTGTCTCCGCTTCCTGAGTAGCTGGGATTACAGGTGCCCGCCACCACGCCCAGCTAATTTTTGCATTTTTAGTAGACATGAGGTTTCACCATATTGGTCAGGCTGGTCTGGAACTCCTGACCTCAGGTTATCTACCCGCCTCAGCCTTCCACAGTGCTGGGATTACAGGTGTGAGCCACTGTGCTCGGCCCCCTAAGGTAAATTTCTAAGTAGGTATGAGATGCATGCATATACCTTCCACATAAAAATAAAATGAAATAAAATAAGGCCTTGACTAATAGGTAATGCTTTACTGTTTAACATTTAACCAGTGAAATTATACTGACGTTTTTGAAGTTACTGCATTCATTCCTATTTTCTTAGAAACTTGCACATGCCTCCTGGTCTAAAAACACGTGGAGACAAAATCTCTACCCTTTTGAAGTTGACATTCTTTGGGGTGGTGCAACAGCAAGCAATTAAACTCACTTTTAGTTTTTAGTACATTATATAATTATTAGGAGTTGCACAATATACATATACTATTTGTGCATGAATTAGAAATTCAATTATTAAACCTATTTCTGGGAGAGACTAATAATTAAATGACCATTATAAATGTGAAATAAACTCAGAATTAATTTAGTTACTTTGTCAGTAAAATAACGTAGCCATGAATTAGTCATAGATGTTTTCCTTTCACATTCTTACAAGTGCAAATTTTGGTCTTCTTTATTGCTCTTTCCTTTTTTTTTTTTTTTTTTTAAACATGTTATCTCTCTTTTGGAGGATACACTTATACCTACCACCTCAGCATGTAATCATGTTTACATATTTCTTTATGACAACAAAGTAATGACGGCTAGCATACAGTGAATGCCTTTACTATGTGCTGGTCACTTTGCTTGTCTTTACATTCATTCCCTCATTCACTCTTCCTGACACCTCTAGAAAGTATGTCCTGTTGTTAATGCACTTCACTGAGGAATAACCTAAATAATTTATGCAAACTCATACAATAAAGTGTTGGAATTGAGTCAAGCTTATCATGATGTCTATACTCACAGAGATATTCACTTATTTGTGGTTTATCTACTTTGTGTATATATATATATACACACATAGACTTTATAAAAAAAATGCTCCAAGTGCAGAAAACACAACATAACCCTTTCAATATTTTAAAACTCAATGATCCTTATATACCCAATTGGTTTGTAAGTAGATATTGATACATTAAAAATATTTTGAAGAGGAATGGCTGCTTGTAATCTCTTTTTGAATTTTATAAAGTGCTTTAAATCCGATTTCTATGATTTGAATCAAGATTTTTCAATTGGTAATTTATGGATGAGTTCTTCATTTATAAATAGACAAATTTCCATGTGAAGATTTGAATACAAGGTGTAAAATCAGTTGTATTATCCCCAATCCCTGCTGCCCTGAAATCTGGCATAGTCATATCTGTTGCACTTTCGGGTTGTGCTTGGAACCCCAAACTCTATATCTAGCCAACACCTAATGGGACACTTCTGGACCATCCAGGGGCCAACATCCCACTCTGCTCTCTCCTGCCATCACATCCCTGGAGTTGTATATTTACAATGATCAGCCAAGTAGAAGAGGCAGGTGCCCTATTGCATAATACATAATAGGTAATTGAAGTACATACATTCTATCTTACCCACCAACCCTACAACAGACAAACGCAACAGATAGTATATAGTGTTTTGTCTAGAAACGATGTTATAATCATTTAGGAAACTGTTTTAGGGAAGGATGACCAAAGATAATAATAATAAAAATGAGGTTTTTTTTCCTAACATGTAACTCACTCTAACATGAAAAACTTCCTCAGTGAAGCTTTAGGTTTCTGTTATTATGTTAGCACATTCCCCATTTTGCCACACTGAGAAAGGTTTCTAAATGTACACTTTGCATTTGCTTAATCTACTTTCCCACCAGCTTACATTTTCCAATCTGTCTTGTTTTGAATACTTGTCTTTAAAAATTGGACAAAACAGAAATTAGCCGGGCATGGTGGTGCGTGCCTGTAGTCCCAGCTACTCGGGAGGCTGAGGCAGGAGAAATGCTTGAACCTGGGACGCGGAGGTTGCAGTGAGCTGAGATCGCACCACTGCACTCCAGCCTCGCGACCGAGCGAGACTCCATCTCAAAAATAAAATAAAATAAAATAAAAATTGGACAAAACAATACTGAGGAAGCAGAGACACAGAACAAAGAGGACATAAACACTGTTTGAAAAATCTGACACAGAGGTTATTCTCATGAAAATTACAGAGATAGTTTTGTTAATCAACCAGATTAAAATGTAATTAATAGATAAACTTACCCCGGTTTTGTGTCATTTACTACACAGTGATAAGTAAATGTTCCAAACATCTGAACTCCTAAAATTCCATAAAGAAGTAGAAAGAAAAGTAGGAAAATGGAAACACTCCATATTTGTTCTCCTGATCGCCTAGGGAAAAAAAGAAGCAGGTAAAGTACATAAAACTTACAAAAACACTTCATAAACTTTTCCTCTTAACTTATTGTAAAGTAGCACTCACTTTAAAATATTTGTAATTCTGGTCCTTGGCAGTTCAAATCGGAAATAAATTCGGAATGCTCGGATCATAATCAGTGGCCGTGGAATCCGCAACATGCCCCAAGGTGACATCTGATCAACTATATCAGCAATTTCAAACACCTACAAATTAAAAGATGGGTAAATGAGGTTGGATTTTCCCCTAGCATTGCTCATACTCATGGAATATACAGATGTTAGCAGCATAAGTAGGTGCATCTCTATTCTGAATTTAGCCCTACATTATTTTCCACCAAAATCCACTTTCTTTTGAGTATATTTTGAATCTATAGCTATCTTAACAGAAACAAATACATAAACTAATGAGAACATCATTAATCTTGTTCATTTCCTGTCTCATTCATTAAGACAGTTTTTAATTACAAGAAGTGCCAACTTAGAATATAAAATAAGTATGCTGTCTTTGTCATTAATATTGTTCTTTGGTGGAGGCTTTTGAATATCTAGAAAATAAAGTAATAGAGAAAGGGTTAAAATTATGAAACACTATTTACTAACAGAGGCAAAATAATAATTAGAAATGTTTGTCAATCACACAATAGTTATTAAATGGAAAAGGACATATTAATATGAGAAATGATTCAACCCGAGAAAGCTGATTAAAAAATATATGAGTGATGAAATTAAATTGTGGGAGAGATGAACTATATAAAACTAAGAAAGGAAAGCTTATCAACAAACACTATGATGAGTTGGCAGAACGGGCTGTGAAGTTTTGAATTCTGAATTTTTAAATAAAGAATAGACGAATAAACTCTAGAGACCTGTACAACATTGTACCTATAGTTAACAACAATTTATTGTACAATTAAAATTCGTTAAAACAGTAGATCTTATGTTAGGCGTTCTTACCACAATCAAATCAAAACAGATCAAATAAAATCAAAAGAATATAGTAACTTTAGTTGAATTAAAAGGCAAAATCATGTCTGAATGAATGCACAGAAATTAATTCTACTTCTTTTCCAATCGAATCTCTCCTGTAAGCCTTCTTAATGTATGTTCCCCATCTCTTATAATAAAGCATTTAATATTTGCAATATAGCATTTTATGTTGGCTAATACCCATCAAAATATGAGAAGACTAGACTTTAAATTTTTAAGTTCTATTTTTTATTTACAAATACAGAAATAAGACTCCACATTGTTTCCTTCATTTCAGGGAATATATATATCTGATTAATAGTTAACAATTTTCTATAGTATTGATTTTCATTTCTGATTGAGAAATAATTCACAAATGTAACTGACAATAATTAAGATATTATAGCTATTGACTTTTCTAACAATAAAATGTTTGAGGTGATACAAATGCTAATTATGCAGATTTGATCATTACACCTTGCATACATCAAATATCACTCAGTTCCCCATAAATACATACAAGTATTATGTATCCATTAAAATTAATTTTTCAAATTTCATATATGTCACAATAAACAGATTAATCACATCAGTTAAAAGAAAAATAAACATAATGCTGTAGGCAGTTACACAATCACATTTGATATATATTTTGTAATATTTCTATTTAGACTTCTAATACAAAATAATTCCCATTTGGAAGAACACCCCCTTGTAATTAAAAAAATATTTAATTACCTGTAGCACCAAAGAAACCCAAAGGCAAAAGACCATAAATCCATCAAAAACACACCAGCGATCTTTCACGTAGGAACTATCCCCCTAAAAATAAATTTTACATGGCATTATTAGGGAGAGCAAATATTTTAAAGAAAAATCTGTGGAGGAAAATGTCAAATGTGAATTCAATAAAAGCTATCTACAATTTGTGTATCATAATAGAACAGACTTTCACAAGGAATAAGTTTAGCATTTTAAATAGCATTACTTATAAGAAAAATATTTTATAAAAGACAAGCAACTGCAGAACTTTGCAGGTAAAATACTTAATTCACGTAAAGGGAAAATATCACATTTTTTTCTCTCAGCCACACAAATTCTAACACTTAAAGAACCAGAAGCCATTCTTCCAAATATGCTATGTAGGTCCTAAGCCAGCTCCCTGCCTACAAGAACCAAGAGCACACTGTGGTCAACAGGAAGGTCTTTAAAACTGTTAGGTTTAGCACCATTAGTAGGAAAATTAACAAGGCATTCACTTCAAGCTGATTAAAAAGTGAAGAAGAAAAAAAGGTCATTATCACTGGTCATTAGAAAAATGCAAATCAAAACCACAATAAGATACCATCTCACCCCAGTTTAATGGCGATCATTAAAAAGTAAGGAAACAACAGATGCTGGAGAGGATGTGGAGAAATAGGAACACTTTTACACTGTTGGTGGAGTGTAAATTAGTTCAACCATTGTGAAAGACAGTGTGGCAATTCCTCAAGGATCTAGAACCAGAAATACCATTTGACCTAGCAATTCCATTACTGGGTAATTACCCAAAAGATTATAAATCATTCTACTATAAAGACACATACACACATGTGTTTGTTGCAGCACTATTCACAATAGCAAAAACTTGGAACCAATCCAAATGCCCATCAATCACAGACTGGATAAAGAAAATGTGGTACATATACACTATGGAATACTGCGCAGCCATAAAAAAGGATGAGTTCGTGTTTCTTGAAGGGACATGGATGAAGCTGGAAACCATCATTCTCAGCAAACTAACAAAGGAAAAGAAAATCGAACACCACATGTTCTCACTCATAAGTGTGAGTTGCACAATGAGAACATATGGATACAGGGAGGGGAACATCACACACTGGGACCTGTCAGGGGGTGGGGGGCTAGGGGAGGGACAGCACTAGGAGAAACACCTAATGTAGATGATGGGTTGATGGGTGCAGCAAACCGCCATGTGTATTTGTATGTATGCTGAAAACATTATTTGTCCTATGTAATAGGACATAGGTATACATGTATATACCTAAGTATACATGCTACATGGCATGTGTATCCCTATGTAACAAAACTGCACGTTCTGCAAATGTACCCCAAAACTTAAAGTATAATAATAATAAAAAGACCTAACTATCCTAAATATATATGCACTTTACACAGGAACATCCAAATTTATAAAGCAAGTTCTTAGAGATATTCAAAGAGACTTACAGTTCTGCACAATAATAATGGGAGATTTCAACACCTGATGGTATTAGATCATTAAGGCAAAAACCCCCAAAGATCAAATGAACCTGATAGACATCTACAGAACTTTCCACTGTATATATGTGGATATATATACACACACATATATATACATTTTTTCTCATTGTCACATAGCACATATTCTAAAATCAACACTTAATCAGACATAAAACACCTCTCAGAAAATGCAAAAGAACTGAAATCAAAACAACCATTCTCTTAGACCACAGTGCAATAAAAATAGAATCCAAGACTAACCAAAAAAAGTGAAGAAGAAACTTATCTTAATTTGCAGGGAAAATATATATTGACTTTAATTTTAATTGGGATTGTATATGTAAAAGAAAGATAAAGATGTACCACTTTCATTTTTGAATAGAGAATCTGTTCTGACATTAGAATGTATGTTTTAATAACACGGGAATTTTAAAAAAATGCCTTTGGAATAATAAAACAGAAAACTTCATGAGGTCAAAAATTAGAAACTTTAAATAGAAAAGCCTTTGCTTTTTTAGGACTACCCCATTAAGTCATTAATTCTGTAGTCATCCATGTAACTCAATTCTGAATTCAGTCACACATATCATTACCTCCTCTGATTAAACCTGCTAGGGAAATAAAAATAGAAATAAAATGTCAAGATTTCAAATCAAATGATAAAACATGTTGCAGGATATTGACATAAGCTTCCACCTTTAGTAACAAATAGGTGTCCAAATATCTCCTTGAGAGGTTTCTGGAAATAATTTATGGTGTATGCAAAACTAACACTATGATAAAACACTTAATGGAAGTTTTCTGACCGAAAAATGAAGTATAAACTCAACTTAATGAACATTGAATAAGTGCCTGTTTTACATTAGAGGATATATAATGTCTAGCCAACACACACACACACCACCATCAGCACCACCAGCAACAACCAAAAGAACAACAATCTTGTAGAAAAAAACATATGCGAACATATCCAGCTAATATATAAGGTAAAATAACTTAAAGTTATAAACATAGTGGGAAAGATGGTAAGATTAATTCTATGGGGAGTTTAGAGAAACTAATGTTAACTCCCAAATGAATGGATAAATAATGTTTTCAATAGCAAGATAATCAACCAAACTTGGTGACTCCTGGGTTTGGGAAGACTCACAAAAGAGATATGAAAGCAAATTCTGAAGCTTGGCTCTGGGTGACAAGAAGGACAATGGCCCGATTAAACTGTGTGACTATCATCATATGAAGACACTACTGGTGCTCCTGGTGTTGATGTGCTACACGTAAACACATCACAAAGGTTAAATATACAACAAATAATTTAAGGTGTTTTTATAGTCATCTTCAACTTTTTTTATAGTTGTGTTTTTTAATAGTTGTGTTAAAGATCTCACAAACATCTTTAACTATAAGCATCATACTTGCCTCATATATTGCACAATTAATTGAAAATGTAAATTAATTATAATTGAAATACAGATAATATAGCCAATATAAATTTGACTTTTATCTGAGCCTTTGATTAACACCCAAGAAGATAATAGAATATGAATTATGTAAGTTGTGCTTTGCCTGCCTTCCTTCCTGCCTTCCTGTCTTCTTTCCTTCCTTCCTTCCTTCCTTCCTTCCTTCCTTCCTTCCGTCGTTCCTTTCTTTCTCCCCGACCCCCTCCCTCCCTCCCTCCCTTCTTTCCTTTCTTCCTTCCTTCCCTCAGCTCATAAGCATCCCTTCAATCTAGGCAGTGTTCAAGAACTGGGGATACAAAGGTGAACAAAGCAAACACGTCTGTCTTTACACAATTTACATTCTGAATGAAATAAAATATTCATTATGTTATATGTTGACAAGTGTCATGAAGAAAAATAAAAGTGTCTATTTTCAAGTGTACTTTTATTAAATTAACAAATGTTTTTTACTTGTGTGTTAGGGAAAAAGAAAAAGAAAATTACCACTTCATCTTTATTTTAAGAACTAGGTATAGTTGTGACTTGTTTTAAAAAATGCAAAGAATTCCAAAAATGAAGACTGAAATTTTATGGGACTCAGCAGAGAACTATGTTAAAATTGGAGCAATTCATGAGTAAATATTAGGCAGGAAAAGAGTAATTATAGATTGCTGAGTACATGGGCACCCAAATAGGATGAATTTATGTGGTACTTTTTCAAAAGTATTAAATAGAACAGTATTACTATTTTATTTCATTTTTGTCATTGACAATGTTATATGTAGTAGCATTATAATTACCCTCCTTTCAATTGCTCATAATTTGCTTTAGAAATGAATTAAACTCAGTGGAACACAGAATGAGAGCTCACCATTATATTGAGGTTCATTTACAATGTTAACACATGAGGATAAACGATGCTATTCCCTTTGTGTTGTGGGCAGTGGGCGGGCAAGTGAGTGGTCAGGAGCCAAAGGTGGAGGACAGACATGCTTTTCACAATGTATTCTGATACGTTTCTGGACCAATGTTTACATGTTAAATTTTAAAAAACAGCTTTTCAACTTTTTTTAAAGTTGGATATTTTAGCTTTAACAAGAATCACTTCTCCATTTGGCAAAAATAAATTTAAATTAAAAAATTGGGGCCTCACCAATTCAGAATGAAAAGCTATCAATAACAGATGTGACCAAATTTTTGCTTCTGATTTGTTTGCTAAGGAAAGTAATGTTGTAAAACCGGCCCACACTACGTTTCAAGCTATATAAAATAATGAATTATTTTAAATCATTTTAGAAGCACCAGTGGTGATCAGAAATTAGAAACATACAAGTATTTTAATTTCAAACGACCTCATTTATAAAAACTGGCTTAGCAAAAATTCTATGTAATTTAGAAAACTTTCTTTTCCATAGAAAGTAATTTAATTGTTTTGTTTGGAATGTTTTCTGCCTTGGACTTTTCAGAAACATTTAGTGGCATTCACGTGTCACCAACAAGCTCAGCACACGCTAGATGGTATGCAGTGGTCAATCAGAATTGGCCTCTTTTTATTTTCCCAGTAAAATATGGAAATAATCCTCTGGGCATAAGTTTCATGTATTATCTTTTGGCTCATGTTTCCACGAGTCATTCAATATTCATAAACGCCTTTTATAAGCAGAGTTATCATGACCCAAGATACAAAGGACAGCAACACTCAGCATTTTTCCATTTGTAAAACATCTTTGGCTGGTTAATGTTCATTGTTTTTCATGCTGTCCATCTTCCTGAAAAATTCTGCAAAGTCTGTGCCAACCTTTTCTTCCAGAGTGATCTGACTACAGCCTCCTCTGATCACCTTAACTCAGGCATTATGCAACAACTGACAACTCAGTTTGTGTATATAAATAATGTGCATCTTGTGTTACTCGCAGAATACGCCGCTGCAATCCATACTGGTTGTTTCATGAATTTATATTCGGTCTCTCCAACTTATTGGATCTGATGGCGAAGTTTGAGTTTCCTACTTAAATCTTCTCTGAACGTATTCTCTGGAGTTATATTAGAAAAAAAAAGTCTACCCCTCATGGTAAATGTTTGAGCATGTTCTGAAGATGAATAACACCCTGAGACTTTAAGTAG